TGTAAAATTTTGGCATTTGACTCTGTCAAATGTTTTACTGTTAAATGTATCCGAGATCTATTTTACTGAGCCAGCAGGAAGTAGGTATAAGAATGGGTGGGTTGAAGTAACTGTGCCACACTGTAAACCCATTTCTGTCTGCAAACACTTCAGTTAAAAACAACACATTGTTCAATTAACACTGATTATGAGAATACATTGTCCTGTTTGACCTCTGCCAAGGCTGGCAATAGGCTTTTTTTTTTTTTATTTTCATTACACTGTCAGAGCCGTAATATTTGAGAACACTTGTCCAAAATGTTTTGTTTATTCTGTTTATTGCTGCAGTCCTGGTTGCATCTGTTAAGATGAGGAGCAGAAGACATGGGGCAAGACGTCAAAATGCAAAATTACAAAATGCAGACGTCAGTGGCACTTTTTGCCAGCAGAAATGAAAACTATAATTTTTCACAAACACTATTAGATGCTAAAACCTAGAAAAGCAAATTATGGTAAATAAAATAAATGGTAGCACATTGTGTTCATCCTACTGTTTGTTCTCAAATGCATAAGCTATTGCTTTACATGTCTGTAACAAATTTAGGTGGGACCGATGCAATACTTTAGGTTGTACAATAGCTGCTTTAGATTTTGTGCAATATGCCCCATGTTGGAGGTGATGCTGTACATATTGTTTGCTAATCCGGTTGCACATACTGTCATGCAAATTCAATACTGAAGAGGTTAAAATGGGTGTATATATGCCAAGCTGTACTACGACATGCAGCCAGAAGGACTGTACATTTTGTGTTTGCATTTCTAAGGAAACTGTAAATATAATGAGATGTTGTTCATCCATTGCTTATAGACTGCACAGACTGTCTTCACTTGGTCAGACATTGAAATGACTGGCTAAAAAGGCCAAAGTTTTTCCAAATAAAGTATATGAATAACAATGTAAATACTTAAATGAAAATTCTGTTCATTTACATCGACTGTTTCATTTCTCAGTGCTGCACAGAAGAAAAACAGACTTAGTTCAATTCTATCTGAAGGTAAAAAGCTTAGAAGATGCATTCAAGCCTGTTGCAGTGAAACTGAGAGATCAGTTATAGCTATGTTTTACAGAGTTATATCACCATTAAAATGTGAATAAAATATCATGTCATCCAAAAGAAATAAATGAATAAAAACAAGTACACAATAATTGTAATCCATTTCAGCACAAGGAATGGATTGCTTAGGGTTCTCGTGGTATAACCTTGAGCAAAAATATCTCAGTTTCACAACTATCTGTCATTTCTGTCTGATTTAAAACAGACAGAAATGCAGTAATCATTCCCACTGCTTGTAAAATATAACACACTGCATCAAGGGTCCTGAATGCCTGCACATTTTAGATGTCCCTGCTTCCAGCACCCATTTGATTCAGTGTCGGACTGGGGATGTACTTAAAAGTTGAAGGACACCTGCCCTCGCAGCATGTAGTCACCACTAGATCCAATTAAACATAGACTTAAAGTCAATATAAACTGTGATATAGTACATTCAGTCGATCATTAAGTGTCAGTCGAAATTTATCTGCTCAATATTCAGTAAATTAATATCTTACTCTGTCAAATGTTTCTTCCCAGCTTTGGTTTGTATTAGAGCCACTAGATGGCAACCAGTCACAGCGAATGCTCTCAGTTTGCCTCACTCTCCATCTCTGTCTACCCTCCACTGAGAAGAAGTTGTCTGTTTTCAAGCCACACACCCCACACCTCTAACCCTCACCCAAAAAAGAAAAAAAAAAAGAACAAGATGAAACTCTTTAATTTATATCAACCACCAGGCCCTCACTCCATAAAAGCTTTTAGCAGGCGCTGAGCTGATGTGTCAGGTGGGTGTGGCAGTCTCATCAGCCCTGACATTTAAGTGCAGTAGTGCTCAGCGCAGAAGGGATTGTAGGATATGAGTAGATACAGATGACAAGACCCCCTGTGAGGATGATTGCAGTGGAGTGACAAGAGGAGACCAAACAACAGAAAGAGCAAAGAGAAGGTGTCGGGAGGGGAGAGATGAAAGGCGAAAAAGAGGAGAAATAAGAGCTTTGAGAAGCAATAACTCAACCTGACAATTACATCTTTGTCAGAGTTTATATCAGAGCTCACAAAAAGGGAGAACTTTGAAAAATATATGGGAGTGAAATCTTAAACTTAAATAAATATAAGGCTTTCCACATTTGTAAGTATTCTCATTGCAGTTACGGCGATAGCTATTTCATCTTCAGCGTTTGGCTTTTTAATTTCTAGGTACCTAATAACATCGTTATTTGTAATAATAATGGGCCACTGACCTTCCTTCAAAACTAATGTTGGAGAAATTTCTGAACTCCTTTTTCCCCCCTGATATTTGGATTATATTTCACCCAAACACAAAGAAATTCCACATTTGTGTATAATGAGTTCTATTATACTACTGACTATTCATTTCCAAGCAAATGGACTTAAAAACTGCTCTCATTTTGGAAGTTTTATATCAAGAATCTGATATTACAATGGGGGGAAAAAATACCCATAAAGTTTACCTTACAAAAACATTTGTTCGAATGTCTTGCACACACCAGTCAGATCAGATCTTCTGCAGAGGGACTTGGAAGTTTCTTGGGTGAAAGGCAGGCTGCAGTTCATCCACCTCTGAGCGGATGATGTCTTCTCACTCACCAAGTTCTCTGCATTTGGGATCTCAGACACAGATGATGAGAAAGCTTGGGGGTTCAGTTCTTTTCACAAGCCAGTCTTTGGCTGATCTGTGAGTAGACTAACCACTAATTGAGGTTTATATTCAACTTTAGCCCAAAGCTAAAGGACTTTGTTCAGTTAAGCGTTTATTCGTCACAAGTCACGTTGTCATTGCAACATTCCTCCCAGCACAAGTTTCCTTAACGTCTTGAGGCCAAATCTCGTTTCTCCAGCTCAATTGAATTTACACAGCCTAGCACAACCCAAAGGATTTTCCATTTTAAAGTCAGGTGACGTCCAAAGAGCAAACGTACCACAAGGGATTCGTTTTTTTCCCATAACTGTAGTAGGAACATACTGTATTGGAGAGCTTATGAACATTATTTCCCAACACAGATAGCGTGTAATCAGAGTATGCTTATGTTTGGCCAACAGCTCAAGAAAATTTGCTGGAAATAATTTTGTTAAACGAATGACTAACTTAAATGCATTTACTTATGGAAACATATGTTGCTCTATGAAGGTATGCTGCCCTCAGACAAAAGGCATCTGTTTCTGTTTTTAAAATGCATAGTCTATATAACAATTCACAAAATGTGAGTCACTCCTTAATGCTTATTTCTTTTACTTTAAGATACTCATTAGTGGTGTAGACTTTTTTTTCCCTTCTCTCAAATGTACACTGCCAAACAAAAAGACAGGAGAGTTATGTTATATGGATGACATAACTCCAACTAGCTAGTTCTGGGATTATATATATATATATAATGATTTAGGCACTCTAAATTTTGGTTGATTACTTCACAAAAGGCATACCACCTGGCATTAGTAAATATACTGTCAGACAAGCTGTTCTGAAAAACTTTAGTTACATTTGGGCTCAAGGATTTCAAACAAGAGAACAGTAGACAATCATCTGCAGAACATTTTAATAGCACAAATCTGTTTACTTGTTTTAATTTTTCCATCCCACTTTATTTTTATGTGCATATTTTCAATTGGTTGAAAATATGCACTGAGATATCAGTTTTTGATACTGATGTCTTGTCAGTTTAGTCCCCCCTCATGGTGGCCCTGCAAAATTGAAGTAAACGCCCATGAATGAGGAAAAAACATCAAGAGAAATATGTGGATGCTCTTAAAACTTCTTTAATTAGTTAAAACAAATGTATCAAAAAGGACAAAAATGTGAGCACAAAAAGCATCTCATTTAAGATGCAGAGTGGATAACATGCTGTCATGTAAATGAGAAAAGACAAGGTCGAGTGCAGGCAGACAGAACAAGTATCAGTACACGTGCTATTAAATTCAAATTACGCCGTTGTCTCACACAAATATAGCTGTTTTTCACCGTGTTCAACATTCCTCCTACTTCACAAAATAGAGTGATGAAGACAAGCGACATACAGACTGACAGGAGCAGAGAGTCCACCACCTATGAAACTACAAGCACACACACACACACACACACACACACACACACGCATAGTGACTGCCAGCCTTGGACACCCTGTGGCACTACAGCACGACCTGCCATTCGGACATTCACCGAATGAGACGGACAAATCTCCAACAGACGGCTCCTGACAAAGAGATTATCACCAGGACAAGAGAAGGGTGTGCAGCTGTGGGTGGCAGAGTGCAGAGATGTGCGAGTTTGAGCTGGTGTGAGTGTTTAGTGGCGTGTCCCTTGAACATTCACACATTTGGACTTTTCTCATCACACTATCGAGTGCACATTCCGAGGCGCATTTACTTTCCTCCGTGCACGAGTTTTATTTGCAGGTCTGTCACCTCAAAACGATCGGTGCCAAAGTAACCAAACACCCACTAACTGCAAACACAGAGCAAATTCCTTCACTTTTGTTTTGTCCATTAAAAAAAATAAATAAATAACTGAGACATCTGTGTATAAAAGGCGTTTGGCAAGAAAAAGTGAGACATTTCTCATAGACACTGACAAACAAACTTCATCCTGATTCAGAAATGCTGTCAGGACTTGAACATTTTTAAGGATCGTTTTTAACAGTGCATTAGTTATTTTCAGTACTTTTCGTCAATGTTTGAAGCAGGATTGATTTTCATTTGACACCTATTTATCTATTTCATTGCCAACTTATACAGTGTGACTAACTTCACCTTTAAGCATGCTGCATATTCTACGCCCTTTGCATTACAATGTCATTTCCTCTCATTTAGTCTGTTTAAAACGCCGCCACACTTCTTATTAAAGCTGCACAATATACTACTGTTGATTGAAACTGAAATGATGATATGCACTGTGGTTTTTTTGTTCCTTACCTTTACACAAAGCCCGCCACACCTCTTCCTGTGTTCTTGTAAATCAACACCTAAAAACAAACATAAAGTGGGACATCTGGGGGAGTTAGAGTCCATTTGGAGTAAGCAGTGATGCGACAATTAATACGACAAAAAAATATTGATCGACTTTGACGTTTGCTTGGATATGGGAATTGAAATCATCTTGTAATTCATTTTCAGCTGGACTCAGAATCTCGACCTTTATCAAAGAAACAATAAAAACCACATAGTAATGTTAATGCAAATACATAATTACCAAAAGGCTGTTGTGTAAATACGAATTATATCTGCTCTTTTTCAACTTTTCATTTACTTGTGTTTAAAAAGCTTCTCGTTTTGGAACTTAGTTGGCCACAACAGTGACATCAGTGATCGGATTATGTTCAACAGAGGCCGTTGTGCATTTATTTTAGAAATTTAATTTAGCCACAAATGGAATTTTCTGATTTACTTTATTCCAAATTGCCCATAATTGTACTATTCGTTTGTAAAAACATATTCATATTTTGACCAAGTTTGACATCAAGACTTGAGCTTTTTGCATAAACGTCCAAGGTAGTCGCAGTAGCCGAAATGCTTGATGGGACACAGCTTGACGTGTCCTGACACAGTCTCAAGCCAACCACGAATTGCAACAATAATTGTGATATAATCATGTAATCCAAACACAAATACACTCACGAGTCAAAGGTGCCAGCGGAGGATAAGTGAAGCTCCACAGAAAGTCAATTAATCTTTTCAGCAGTCCCCCTTCCCTCCTCCCTGCTTAAAAGCTTCATTTACCTCCTATGGAGAAGAGATAGAAACACCATTAGTGAGATGATGGCAGGACTGGAAAGGGGAAAGGAGAATCACACAGTTGGATGAGCTGAAACAGTATAGGCCCCCGTCTCCACAAAAAAAAGGTGTGTGCATTAAAAAAAAAAAAAGGCGAGCGCATCTTCAGCATGGGTGAGCTCAATTAGGTTCTTCCTTGATTATCAAGGGAAGAGGTGTACAACTTTTTAAGGCGGAAGTGCGCCTCAGATCCTGGGAATGGCAAAGGATGGGCGAACCTGCAGAGACGGAGTGAGGACAGTGGGGATGTGGCTGAGAGGCTCCTTTCGCTGCGCCGAGGTGCTTCACAAAGCATGCATTAGCGGATCCGACCCCAACCACCATTTCCATATCTCAGTGGATGACTGTGGGTGCGTGTGTGTCACACAGGACCCCAGCTGGATAATGGCTGCTCGTGTGTGTTTACATGCACGTATTCGGGTGCGTGAAATGCCAGTGAGCATATCGGCTCCGCTTCACCGAGCTCGGCTGGCTACTGGAGCACATTTGGGGGTCTCACTGTGTGACAGAGGTCAAAATAGACACACACAACCACACACACACAATCAAATACAAATAAGGAAGTCTGGCTAAGGACTCAAGACAATCAAACAAAATTCAAATCAGCAAGTTTTTCTTTCCGACATTCTTGAAATTTCCATTTGCAAGTCTTTGAGTCATAATAAAACATACATACCTGCATATGCCAGTAGATTTCTGTCCTTCCCATTTAAATGTAAGCTCTAAAAACTATGTCAGTTAAGCAGCAAGATATTCTAATGCAATGTTACACGTCTGATTGCAGGACAGCCGGGTTTAGATTGGGATCATACGGCAGCTGAATGAATGAAGAAGCCAAAGAAGAGCAGGTCCTATCAAGTGAAACTCATCCACAAATCCACTTTTTATTTATTTTTTTTTGCTTTTTTTTTTTTGACATTTTTGTGCAACTCTTTTAGGTATGCTGTTTGAATGGATGACTGTATGAGACTGGCTGCAGTGCTGAGGAAGCGGGAAACATAATGGGGGCTAACGGCTGCTCTCACTGCTCGCTCAGGACAGGCAGACTGCTGCCTACAGCCGCAGGACGTTATTGCAATAAACGTCTTCAACAATACAGAAAAGGAGTTGCTAGACTTTTCACTAGTTGTTTTGAAAAAAAAAAAAAAAAGTAATCAGAGGAGTTTGGGAAATCAGTAGAGTTGACAATTCTGATCACACTCCCCCAGACTCAGCTGTGTCTCTTGGCCCATTTTGCAGGAATTTTTCAACATTTGCCAGGGTGGGGTTTATTTCTGAGGGTCTTAGACATTAATTACTGGAAGTAGCCTATGTTTACTCAGGGAACTGTAAAGTGTGTTAATATATATATTTTTTTTATTTTACAAGTTCATTTCTAGCCAGCTCAATCAATGAATAACAAGCCTAAGTTTAAATTCGGGATTCTCCATGTTTACAGTGAATGTATTTTTTGTGTAACTTCTATGCGTCTGTTTGCTTACCAGCAAGTCTGGTGCGCAAACAAATGTTTTGTCCTACTTAACTAGGTCCCAGTCAGACCAAACGTATTTGGCATTGGTTCTTTGATGCCGGTGTTGCCATGCGTTTGGGCTGCAGTGGCATGTATGCCTGCATATGTGTGCATTGTGAATGTAGCAGCCAGCGGGGATAGCATGCTGCCACTGCTGACTCTGGGCCTGTCTGCCTGGTGTGCCCATTTCTGCACCAGTAGAGCTGGCACTGGCTCCTGCCTCTGCCCAGCCGTTTCACAGTGTGCCAGCTGGGCGCTACCAGGAGAGGCCCCGCAGAGAGAAGGCACAGGTCAGCTGTGACAGAAGGACAAAGAGAAAGGGGCGGGGGTGAGATCAACATCCCTTTTCTGTTCGGGAACAGAAAAGGGATGTTGATGTATCTTTGAGAGAAAAGTTAAAATTGAACTGACTGTTGGACTTTAATGGATATATTCTTTACTCAGTACAGTAACTTGCCAACAGGTTTTCTACAAGAATTTAACTGACTTGAAGGGATGTTTTTTTTTTCTTTCTTTCTTTTTCTTTTTTGCCAAAATTGATTGTTTTTGCCGAAATCATCTTTCGACAATAGAAAGGAGATGTTTTTTTTTGTTGTTTTTTTTAGGAAGGTGATGATGTGTGACCAATAAATGAAAATAAACATTAGTCTAATTGGGTGTCAGAGCCACAATCAGCTAAAAAAAAAATAAATGCTCAGTGTAAATCTGAAGAGAATACAATATTCAATTCAATTTATTCCTTCTAGAAATTAAGACTTTTTTTTTTTTTCTGATTCTCAAACCCCTTGCAGAATAAGCTACGGTCATGATTTGACTCAGGACCTTCTTACTGCAAGGCAGGCAGTGCTAACCACTTTTCCACCGCGCAGCTCCAGGCGAGTATCACATCCATACAATCCATACAATGATTGGAAGGACTTATTTTCCATTGTTTTCGCAGTTCAAATTGCTATTAATTGATTCAAAATTACACTTCGTTCTGTTCTCCAATTCTGTAAAATTATTGGAGAGGAGTGGCAACCGTGTGAAGATGAACAAAAACAAGCAAACGGATATAGGCAAATTGTGAAGACCACATATTTTCAATACATCCCAAAAAAGTTTATGTTTTTTATTTATGCACATTAGACCTAAATTAAATCGATAATCCAGCAGACTTTTTAAAGACCTGCAGCCAGAAGGTGAAGTTGGAATAGAAGCCTTGAGGAAAAGTTATTGGCCAAAGTTATGAGCTAATGACTGACATAAGCAGAATAATAATAATAACAACAACAATAATAATAATAATAATAACAATAATAATAATAATAATAATAATAAAATGATTAATGAAGCTATATAAACACACTAAATAGCTTTTAGTGTGTTAGTCGGCAACTAATGTTGACCGAAGATATCAACATTAGTGGCTACAACGTTCACAGTTTAAACACAATTAAATTAATGATGAGATGTATAAAACTGGAATGCAGTCAATGCATGCAATTTCCTGTTAATTTTAGTGAATATTAATGATCTGTATGTCATTTTGGAAGATCCACTTAATTAAAAACATTGTCCGTCTTGAATCAAGGAACTAAGAGCAGATGGCCATAGAAGCAGTAATATCCAAAGCACCATGCATCAGAACTTCCTGCACATTTCTCTAAGAGATGGAGCCACATGTAAATCATGTTATTTACAGAGATCGCCGCTATGTATTCTGAAACAAATTAGTAAACTGTTGTTGTAGCTGTGTTTAGTATTTGACTTATCACTTTTGATGAAGATTTGGTTAAAGATCACTAAAGGTTTCTCCTTAAATTAGTTAGTACAGCCACAAATGTTTCTGTGAATGCTTTTTTAGATTTGTTGGTAGTATAACTTAAGATTTCCTCACACAAAATTTTAGCATGCTTTCACATTTTGCAAATATTACCCTGAGTAATCTTATTTGTTCTTCAGTTATTTTCAGACAAGACTCACTGAATTTTCTCATAAGTCAACCACCTAAATTGAATCACTCTTTAAGAACTTATACTACTGCAATACTAAATTATCTTCACAAAGCAAATTAGTGTTTTGGTCGTTGGTTTTAGTCTGTCATTTCTAAATAATCGTGTAAAACTGCCCTTAAAACATTAACAACAGGTGGGAGGTGTTCACACGGTTAAAGAAATCATTTTAAAACTGTAAATCGTATTTGAAAAATCAATCTTTCAAGATAATAGTGAGGAATTGGTGAAAGACACCAAACCCAAGAGCAACACCTCCAGATACTTTCATAAAACTCATTCTCTTAGACACGTTTTATGTCATCGAGTCTTAAATGTCCAGATTTAATGAGATCCACGCTTCCTGCCCATCCTGCACCCACCATGGACACCCCACCTTATTCCACGCCTCTCTCCCGCCCTATTCTCCGTAGGCCCTGGGTCTCTGGCTGGGGCAGGCTGGCGCAGCTGCGCCAGGGGCTCCGTTGTCACAAGCAGTTAGGGTGACAGCCACTCACACTTCATAATGTCCCTCTCACAGGTCACCGAGCGACAAGCTGGGTCACCTCGCTCCAGCAGGCCGCCCCAGGGGAAGCAGAACCCCCCACCACCACCGCTATCTCCCAATCCCGCCCCCTCCTCACCCACTACTTCTCCTTCAACCCCTGCCCACCCCCTATATGGCCCAGGAAAATGCAGGGACAGGAGGGGCAGGTGGGGGGGAAGAGGTGCTCTACTCTACCTTCATGCCGGAGTCCATGCCAGGGTCACTGCTGAGGTGGGCATGCCACTGCTAGTTCCTCTGATACAGATGATGCTGACAAAGCGGGTTAGGGTCAGTTTGAGAAGCTGAGATGGTAATCATAGACTTTAGAGGAACATTACGATGTGCTACTATTCCTGATGGTGTATGTCTCGAGGTAATTGTTTGGAACTCTTATGAAAATACAGCTGTCATACATTCATGTAGCGTCGTCTTCAAAGTTAAGTCATCATAAATCAAATAAAAAGTGACAGTATTGATTTATTGCCTCAACGGGGGAGTGACCCATGTGTCTTTAATGTGATTATTTGTGATCTCAATGTCATTCAGCAATTTACAGCTAAACGGGAAATGTTCAAATCCATGCACGCAATAAGTCTTTCCAATAAATCTTTTTTTTTCCTTTTTCTTTTTGTAAACGCATGGATTTTAACACCAATATCATCAAGTTAAACTCTCTGAATAAGCATAACATTCCAGTTAAGCGGACGAAAAATAAAGAGTGGGACACTTTACCTTTAGTGTCCCACCTAAAAGTAAAGTCCTTCTTGTCTGTATGGAGGAAAATAAAAGTTTAGAGAAAAAAAAAATAGATTAAAAACTATGTGGAAAGTCAAAGAAATATACAAAAAAAAAACAACAACAAAAAAACGTAATGTTTTGTTCACAGCACAGAAAATTGTTTTCCATCTTTACGCACTAT